ACTATCAACAGTGAAAAAGCTCAACTTTGACCGGATTTAAGAACGGGAAAGTTATGTGAGGGAGCCATGCTCTGCTATGTGAGTCTTTCAAATTTTATTTTAACTTGGATTACGCTTCTACACACGTCAAGGATGTGTAATTTGCATAAAGCCGACTAAATTTATTGAATTATTCAAGCGGTTGTAAACAGTTTGGAGAAGGGAAAAATCCCAGTAATTGCTTCCCAAAATCATATTGTGTCGAAACGGCTTCATAAATCTTAACAAAACATAAATTAACTTTCATAGCCGGTCTTGTGCCCTGTGGCTTGAGATAACACAATTCTTCGACTCGCTCCTTTTTGTAAATGAAGTACTTTCGATTTTTCCAGCTTTAATAGAATTCGAGATACTGATCTTGGGATCCAGTTAAGTCGTCTTACTGTCAATTCACCATTTCGTCCGAAATAATTGTGTTTGTGAATGTATACGTGAAAATTGTCGTTTTTCAGCTCAGCGACGAGCTTTTTTGTCATCTGGATGATTGTGTCGAGAACCTGAGACGGAAAGCAGGTGCAATTGCAAGTTTAACGTTATTTTTGTTTTTGGCTCTTGATTAAATTCGCAAGTGCTGTTTAATTTAATTTCCAAATTTATTTTGCTGCAGATCGGAATTAAAACAGGAATTATCTTCGGATGAGATTTAGTAAGATTTATTGTTCTTGTCAAAGGAAGAACTAACTTTAAGCTACGTGGGCATAACTCCAAATGTACAGATAAGGCAGGCAACAAGAGAACGAATATGAATAGAATGCTACAACGTTTATTGAATTTTGGGAGTTTCTGGTTGATTTTCATGTAACACCTAATACTGAAAAAATGAGACTTTTGTCTTGTAAAGGCGAAAATGTGGCAAAAAACATCTAAATATTGCTAGCAAAAAAGCAATTTAATATAAAATTTTATTTTTTATTGCTCGTGAAAGGAAAGTATTAAAATAAAGTTTTTTTATTTACTTTAAAAGACTTTTAATTTGAAAATTATTTTAAATTTGAAATTTTTTATCTCCAAATAAAACGATTCGGCTTACAACAATATTTAGCAGCAATCTGTTTTTTTTTTTGTCGTAGGGAAGGTAACTTGACATTGCCCAACCATCTAAACATGTAACATCAAACGTTCTGAAATTTGGTTTTTATTTTTGATTTATTTTGGTTTAAGTGCACAATATTTTATGTTTTTCATTAAAGCGTAGGACTAGTATATGTAGAGGTACTTCTGTAATTAAAATGTAAATAATAGTTATTTATTATAAGACGATAAAATTGAGAGCTAATATGCTCGAAAAGATAATGATAATTTTATTGTCGTGTACAATATAAAATTTTATTCAATCCTCACTAATTTTGTAGTCAATTTGGTCGATATTTATAAATGTCAAAGTAAAATTCAACAATGAAATCTAATGTCAACGATTGTTAGCAACTAACAACCGCACATATACAACAATGGATGTATTTTTTATCATCTAGACGATAAAATTTCATTTTAACATGAAGAAAAGAGTAGATAAAATTCAATTTTAACATAGAGGATTGAATAAAAAGTTTTTGTTTTGACAGCTTGTTAAAGCAACTTTTATTATAACGGTTTTTCCTGGATGTGATTAAAAACAGTTTTTTCTAATTACTACACCACAAACACTAAAACAACTTCTTCCTAATTAAATTCTAAAAAAAGAGATTTATGCAGAGGTTTATTTTCTTCGAAATTGCGTAGGTGCATTATCTTATCATTTCCGTGCCATTTTCATAACGGAAGAGCACTTCTCGAGATGTATGTACAAGATTTATTATTAAAATATGGCTCAAGAAATCTGAGAGGCAGTGCGACAGACACAAGTGTACTCGTATTTTTGCGCTTTAATTAATTTTGAATAAAATATGATGTGATTCCGGGTTGAAAAATCGGTCTCGTTCTTACTAATTCTTTACATAAATCACACTGATCCGGATTAGGGTCTCCGGAATCAATTAGCCGGAAAAATTCCGGTCCGGTTTAATTTTTTTTTTGGATTTTTTAAAGCGGTTGGAACTAACGATGTGGAAGTTAACAGAGAATTTAATTAAACTATGACCGCATATCTGCGCACACTTGTTGGAATCTCGAATAAGGGCGAACTTTTCGTTGTCTTTAACCGTTGAATTGATGTTCGCAGACATGACATTCCATTCAGAGGGAAAATTTATTACAGCATGTTCAGAGGGGACATTTTTTATTTGGAAACATGTCATTAGACGCAGTAACATTATTCCTATCGGGAGAGGATCAAAGGAAAAGTTTGCCTGACAAGTAGCACCTACGTGGATTCGGATAGTTGGATGAAAAATAAATTAAATATTCGCATTTAGACGTGATAACGCTGATTGCGTTCAAAGCACGAGTTGATAAACTCCTCGGCTAGATCGACAAACTTCACCAACAAGCAGTGCGATTGTCCGAGGTGTTTACTGGTCGAATTTGTGTGTTTTTGTTAAGTGTTCAGGAACGAATTCGGTTTAGAGTGGTTTTGCTGATTTATTTACATACTTGGAGCTAATAAACAAGGTGCGAACAAAAAATTCCATTTGCTGGCAACACGATTTTGTGGTGTTGTTTCATTCCACGGCGAGAGCGAATTTATGTCAAAGGAGGAAGGTTTTTGTTGGAATTTTAGGCAAGAAATTGTTTTCGGTCAAAAATAATTTTTATCATAATAGTTTTGGAAGTAACGACTACGAGTAGAATGATATTGTGTAACAATTTCGAATGGAGACTTTTTCATATTTTTATTTTATTTAGCAATTATGTCGTATGGCACCTCCATCAAGTTTGTCGCGTCGCATGTATTTTTTTTTTTTGTACTTTTGAAGAAAATATTTAAAGTAACAAAAGTAATACTAAACTTGAAAAAATAGAGTTTATAATTACACCTGAAACAGCCCCATCGAGGTCTCGTTTTATTACTAAGCATATGCTATACTTTTCTGGGTTAATAGAGAGGCGTCCGGGGAGTCCCGGCCCAGATTCATTTTAATCAGTTGCTTTAATGGGTAATTTTCGCCGGGGGTTAAGATCTTGTTGATTGCTGTTCACGGATTAGATCGGTTTTGCTTGTAATAAACCACTTTGAGTAATTGAAGAAACGTCGAGAGATGGGTCGAAAAGTTATGATAAAAATCGCCGGTAAAATCCGCATCCATTACATCTGTAAATAATGATTGTGGTAACAACTGGAAATATATACACATATTTGCTAAACATCCAACTCTGAAACCAATAAATCACGGAAACATTTCAATGGTTGAACATCGAACAATTCAAAAATTACAAGCAATTTTCCCTTGTCCCACTTTCCGTGCGATGCGGAAATTACATATTTTTGTAGCCGACACGGCCATATAGACATGTATGAATTTCGAATGTAAACATTGTGTTTCATGTGACAAAAAAATGGCATGTAGCACCGGGAAATATTTCAGGGAGGTGCCTTGGACCCCAATAACGTATATTTTATTACTCACACCTCGAAAGCTTCTCTAAAGGTTTGCAGAAAAGTTTAGAAAAATAGAGAAAACCGCACAAGCAAGCCATAATTAATTTTGACAGTGAGATAAAACCAAGTTTAATTTTAATTAGATGTTTAATAATCTAGTGAATTGCTCATTTGTTCTCAAAACATCAATGTTACTTTAGGATTAATCTCATCTTTGCGGAGGTTTTGCGATGCACAAACTAGCGCAATATAAAATTTATTAAAGAAAGTATTTAGAAAGAATTTGGATTCTTAAATACTGTATTGTTATAGAAGTTTCGCTAAAAGTAAAAAAAGTACTAACATATTTTCAGTTTTTAAATCAAAAATTCAGTTTGTGTAAAGACAGCAAATAAAATAATTATACAGTGAGCGGCAAAATTATGGAAATAGACTGAAAATATTTTGTTTTGACAAGAATGCTCGAACAGAACAATTTTCTTTTTAAACAGTACACAATTTTTAACTTAATTTACAATTTTACACTTTTTGGTTTTTGAGTAATGTTTTCATGGCCTTTTTTTTTAATGGAAACCCCTAATTTTTTTTTAGCCAATTTGCTAGAGTTTTTAATTGTTGAAATGACAATACCAAAATATTAAATATTACATAAAATTTTCGAAAAAAATCATCAAAAAACTAAATTTTCAACAAAAACAAACATACAATTTTAAATAAAGTTAAGAATTTTGTATTTTTAAAATAGAAAAATTACCTGTTTGAGCATCTTTGTCAAAACAAAATATTTTCAGTTTTAATAAATAAGATTATTTCATAATTTTTCCGCTTACTGTATAAGCGAGATTTTTTACTGTTTACTTCAGAAATTTCAGTTTTCCAGAATTGCCAACTTCGTACAATTAATATTTTTTGAGTTTTGAATTATTTTTAGTAGTTGCGAGCGCAAGAATCGATAAACTTAATTGAAACGATAAATCTAGAACTGGAAAAATACACTTTATCAGTTAACGAGATAGGAACATGATAAATTTGTGAGTCTGAGGGACTGCTGGGCTTAATCCTGGCATTAGGGAGGGTAAACATGGTGCAAAGCTTGGTTTTATGTGAGATTATGAAAGTAAATTCGTCTTGTCGTTTTGTTTTCTCAAAATTTGAATTTTAAATAAAACAAATTGTAAACATGGTATTAGTCGTCGTCATGCAGACCGGTCAAAAGTAAATGAATGTTTCGGACAGACCGCAGAAAAACTCAATTTAAAATTTCAGCGACTGTTGTCTTTTGTTAGTGTTCTTAATTATCTTGGTTTCACTTCCGATAAATGCCCGGAAATGAGCTTTTGAAACTCTGGAATTTGAAGAAGTCGATCGATGCGTGTTGCACCGCCTCGTGAATATTCATAAACAAATAATTCCCATCTTGCAAATTCGCATACATTAAATTTTGCATATTTACGAGATGGATTGTGAACAGGTGTTTTTATTGCAGGCCCTTTTACAAGCTCATGATGTTGTGGCGCACGAAATTTACGGCGAAGATGCTATGCGGGTCACGCCCCCGCCCCTATTGCCGTACCTCAACGGGGGCGACGATCTGGACGGTCCCAACGGCGAGGTGGAAATGGAAAACGTAACCAGAGTCAGGCTGGTGCAATTCCAGAAAAATACCGACGAACCGATGGTAAGGCTAAAACGGGTTTTAACACAAATTTACTTATTTTGGTTCATCGATCTTGATTAATTCACTTATTGTCTCCAAGGGTATTACGTTGAAGATGAACGAAGACGGAAAGTGTATAGTGGCTAGGATAATGCACGGAGGGATGATCCATCGACAAGCGACGCTCCATGTAGGCGATGAAATTAGAGAAATTAATGGAATTTCCGTTATGAACCAATCCGTTAGTGCTCTCCAAAAAATCCTCGTAAGTCAAACATCTTTATTCCGCCATTAACAAAAAAAAGAAGAAAGTAAAGTCTGTTATCTTATACTGAAATGTGAAGTAGCCATAATATTGGTATAGTTTTTGAAAATTTATCTAGAAGTGTGCAAATAATAAAGTCTGTTTTTTTTTTTTAATGGAAATTACCAAGTCAAAATTTTGGTGAAAAAATTGGTAGCAGCTTATCTCCATAGCCACAAATTTTGTTTTTCTTCCTAGAAATTTTGTTAAAAAAATATAGTTATATTTTCAAATTGAGATGTGAAAATTTTGACTTTTATGAATCTTGTGTGCCTGTTTGCTATTTGAAGACGCTGTAATTGAATACCTGAGGACAGACATCATTTCCTAAGGTCTAAAGACAGAATTCAGTGCTAATAATTTTGATAGAAACGCACCTCAAGTAATTGGACAAAAATGAGATTCTTGCTATAAAAACTTTGAAGAAAAAGGATGTAAATACAGAAAAGTTATTTAGCAAAAGAAACAAGTAGGTATTATGATGATTGGCAATAAATTATGTGTAATTTATTGAAATGAGCTCAAAGTTGATGCATTTTAGAAATTCTACTTCAGCCTTAGTTTAAAAATTGTTACTTTTTCAACTCGTTCCTCAAAAGCGATGCACAAGACACTAATTTAATTGCGTTTTTTCCGAGGTTCTCATTCATGTTTATGTATTCTTGTCAATTTCTTGCTAAAAATTGAGAATGTTTAGCAAACCTGCATTACAAATTGCGTCTACATTTTAACAGGCCTTTTTTCTAACTTCCTGCTTGCGAACTATTCGTTTCCAAATTTCGAAAAACTGTTAGTGGTACCGAATTTGTTCCTTTTTTGGTGTATCGTCTCTAAATTTTCTTAGACGATTTTTTGCGTTGACGTTTAATGACATTGTTTTCAAATTAATTTAAAAAACCGGAACTGCCAACTTATTACCTTTATTAAAATTACCATGAATGAATTACTAGTGGTGCCAACGTTAAGACTGTTTGGCATTTCCATTAAAAAAAAAACAGACCTTAGTAGATTATGTTATTAGAAGTAAAAGTGATTGTTTATGAGGCAAATGGATTCAGTTGAGCCACATAAACTCACTTTTACTCCAAATAACATATACTATTTTATCTGCAAACGATTCAGATGGAGAGAAAGTGTTGATTGATTTAACTGGTGAATAACTGTAATATACCTTGTACCTCTACAGAAAATGCTGAAAAAGCGAAAGAGACAGGAAAGAGACAACAGTGGTAAATGTCAAAGTAAGTGTCAAGTAAAAGTGAAAACGCCTAGGCGTAAAAGCAGTGTTTTTACTCCATGTCTGAAATGTAAAACTTTTACCTGTGTCATTTAGTCATAAAAGTGGTCACTTTTATGCTTTATTTTTAGAAAGAAAATGACGAAAAAGTGACAATTTTGAAACTAAAACTGAAGAGGAATTTGCTTGCATCATTTCCGTGCTCATTAAATAAATTACACAAAATTTACAAAACTGATGCTTGTACTTCGACACTTGCATACCCTTTTTTTAATTAAAATTTCAAAGAGCAACAAAAACTAAGCACAATTTGTGGCTGCGGAAATAATCTTCTAATTTTTTCACCAAGAATTTGTCTTGGTGATTTCCGTTTAAAGATGAAACAGACTTTGTTTTTTCGCTTAAACTTGCTAATTATAAGGTTGCTCTTTACTCTCGATCTGAATATATTTGGGAATAAAATAGTATATGTTATTCGGAGTTAAAGTGAGTTTATATGGCCCAGCTAACTTATTTGCCTCACTACGTTCGCCTACATCACATAAACTATCACTTTAACTCCTAATAACATAATGTAATACTAATTTAATATGCATGAGGTATAACAGGTACTATTATAATAGGTACTAATTTTTGTATTTGAGTTTGTAATTAATCCAATTTTACACAAAAACTCAAATTCCAATTTGATGTTTTTTTTACAGAGGGAGGCAAGAGGTTCAGTCACGTTTAAGATTGTACCATCGTATAGAAGTGCACCACCCCCTTGCGAGGTGAGTCATCTGATCATTTTTTCAAGTAAATGTCAGCATGTTTTAAATCCAATTCTGAGCAAAAAATTTTATACCAATTTAACAATTTATTAAATTCGGAGAATCTTGTTTTAGTCAGCCCGAGTGGAACTAAAACCGATACATTGAATCATGTAGTGTTATAATTTAAGATAATAAAGGCTTTTGTTCACGTTTCCGTCCATTTTTCTGTCTAATATCATGAATTACCTATTCATTATTTTGGATCAGAAAGGATGTGTATAAACTATACAAATCAAACGATTTTATAGGTGCTCTAATTTTGTCCAAATCGATAACTTAAAAAATGGAATTGGATTGCGCAGCTTTGTTAAGGGAATACATAATACAACTAAATAAATAACTAAAATAAAATTTTGTCATTTTCAATTATTATCAAAATTAGTTAACTTTCATTTCAAAATAGTAGATTTGACACCAAATAAAAATTATTTCTATGTATAATTTATTTTGTAGTAAGAAAAATTAATTCGTGTTTGGTGAAAGATCTATCATTCTGAGACGAAATTTAATTATTTGGCAACTAAAACGCAATAAATTGGTGACCGATACAATCACTTCCTTTTGTTAATCACTGGCATTGTTTCATTATTAAAGCACATCCCATCATACCAGATATGTGTCTACCTTTCACACATACTCACTGTAGGTTAAATTAGTCTTAGATTATTAAAAGTGACTTGACATTTAGTGAGTCACTTTTAAGTTCGAAGCGGCAAGTCTTATTCCACTTGCGATGAGACTTCCGCGTCAAAATTGTAGTTTATTGGAGTAATATTTTTTTCTGTTTCCGGGTCCTTCTAGTTATTCCGGATTAAACCTCTGCCAGTACTAGTAAGTACCTCAAGTATCTGGTTCGGGTGTGGTGTGCTTTAGTTCTAGTCCGTATTGCTCGTTTTTTGAGTAGTTAAGCATGAAACCTTCATAAATTCCAGATTTTCGTTCGAGCCCAATTCGATTATGATCCTCTCGAGGACGATTTGATTCCTTGCGCCCAAGCTGGTATCGCCTTCAAAACGGGAGATATCCTTCAAGTAAACACACTTTTCCTCTTAAAACCAGTTATAAATTGGAAATTTCTAGATTATTAGTAAAGATGACCATCATTGGTGGCAAGCCCGCAAGGACAACTCGGCAGGCTCGGCCGGCTTGATCCCTTCACCCGAATTACAAGAATGGAGGGCGGCTTGTGCCGCCATGGAGAAAACGAAACAAGAACAAGGTAAGTGAACACACAAATCACACCACACCGACTCCGAGCTTTTTTTCCTTGAGTTTTTTTCCAGCAGTTCATAAAACTTCGTGGCTGGTCCCCTTACTGTTGCATGGTTGTGTTTAATTCGATTTTCTAATGATTGTCGGTGCAGTTCATATCGGATTTAAGTAAGTGTACTTTACTTGGAAAACAATTTGAACGAATATGAACCGTGATTGCTTTAGAAATTTCAATGGAATACTTAAATGTTTGTAATGAAGTAACTTTGTTGATCGAGTCGATATTGAACGCACCGACTTACAATAAGCATACATTATTAAACATAAAGCATGGAACCTTTAGACGTGCAATTGTGAACAGACAATTAAACGGCATTTTACGAAGCGAGTGCGCCAATTATCGAAATTATGAATCGCCGAGTCTTATACGAGTTACTCAAAGTCGGATATTATTTTTTTTTGTTTTCTAGTTACTAAATAAGAACAAAAATATTTTTTTTTGATGGCCAACTTCCGGTCGTAAAGTCTGTTCACTTCTGCCCACGGGCGCCGACTACATGGGTGCTTCAGGACGGGTGCACCCATTGAAATTTTTTATTGGGTGGGGGGAACTCATTGAAAATAATGTACCTACTTTTGCCTAAAGTAAATATTTGAAATTTTCTCGGGAATTTCGTATTTATTCTAATATTTTTTTAATAACGTTGCATTTTTTAAAATCACTTTTAATTCAAAGATATCTTAAATTGTCTATTATCCTATTTTCCCCTTCGAGAAAATGGATCAAATTTATCGTTTATGTTATTCTATTTTTTTTTACATTTTTCAAACTGATTCATAATTATTTAATTCAAAATTACTAATTCAAAATTAGCTCTTTACTGAAAAACTCTGAAAAAAGATTTGTTGTTATCTCAAATATTTCAAAACGACGAAATATTCTACATAAATTTTTATATACTATTTCAAAAAATGAAGAGAACAAAAAGGTTTCTTAAATTTTTGAAATACTGTATCTTAATGAAAAAGTGTTGTACCTATCTAGATTCAAAAAAATTCATTTTGAAGCTTCAAGCTTGTAGTCTTGGAATCTTTTGTCAAAAAATTTTCTGAGCTACGATTACTTCACAATCCTAAGAAATAGCGCGAGAAAAAAAATGAGAGTTTCTTATTCTTTTTTTGGTCCACGGACTTGGGGAAATTTTTATTAGTTAAATGAAAATATGGGCCAGATAGCTTGTTCATTCAGCTTCAATTTGCTTTTTTATATACATAATTTATGTTATTATATTTTTTTTACTTGATTTAGCTCATTTTTAAACGAGATTTCGTCAAATATAAGCAGAAAGACCACAAAATTTGCTCGAGAATGGTGTTAGTTTTTCTTTTTTAAGTCTTAAAACAAGTTTTTGAATTAAAATCTAATTTTTTTGTGATAGATTGAAAAATCAACAAATTAAGTCGTATTTTTGCCTGTTTTCGAGTGGTTAAGTACAATTCTGAAAATATTGTTAAAAACGAGCCGAAAATTTACCAAATTAGTTCGAAAATGGTGTTATTTTTGTCTTTTTAGAATGTTTAATCACGTTTTTGAAATAAAAACTTTTTTTTCGAAAATGTTTAACTCTCAGAAATATTACTAGAATAGACCGAAATTCACAGCTTGTTTCTGTCAATTTAACTTGTTTTTAACACCTAAAAAAAATAAACGAAAAAATAAATAAATAAAATAAAAAATAAATAAATTCAATTTGATTTTATTTTGTTTGTTTTTCTCTATTTCAAGCCGAAAAACACAAAATATGCTTGAGAATGGTGTTTTTTTTTTATCTCTTTTAAGCAACTTTTTGAATTAGAATCTTAATTTTATTCTGAGAGAGTGAAAAATTAGTAAACTAAGTCGTATTTTGTCTGTTTTCCGAGCGCTTTAGTACATTTTTGAGCCAGAAATGAAATTTCTTAAATTTTTGAAAGACTGTATCTTAATGAAAAATTGTTGTACCTATCTAGATTCAAAAAAATTCATTTTGAAGCTTCAAGCTTGTAGTCTTGGAATCTTTTGTCAAAAAATTTTCTGAGCTACGATTATTTCACAATCCTAAGAAATAATGCGAGAAAAAAAATTGAGAGTCTCTTATTCTTTTTTTTGGTCCACGGACTTGGGGAAATTTTTATTAGTTAAATGAAAATATGGGCCAGATAGCTTGTTCATTCAGCTTCAATTTTGTTTTTTTTTGCGTCAATTTGTCGCTGAGATATTTGACTTTTGATGAAAAAGGATTATCGATATCTCAGCACCCAGAGAATTTAAGGATAGTTTCAAAAACTGGAATAAATGTCCTGGAAGATGTTTTTACAATTTTTTGAAAAAAAAATTCCACTTTCAAGATTGTTTTAAAGAAAAGAGAAAAATGTATCTTTTTTGTTGTTTTAATAAATCTAGGGTTTGATTGATGAGGATACTAATGTGTCCAGACTTTTTTACAACTCAATGTACAACCTCCAATAGCTCTGTAAATCTTTTGATCGATCCCTCAAATTGTATTGATCAAATTTTTACAAAAGAATTAAAGAAATTAATTGATTCTGAACATTGTGTAATCTTTATCAAAATGAGAAAACAACTGTTTTTTACAATTTCGCATGTTCTATTAAAAAAAAAAGATATTTTTAATGATTTGTAAAAAAATCTCAAGAAACAATTCTGACTAATGTTTGAGACGACCATTCAGCGTTTGCGTACCCTAATTTTACTCATCTCAAATTAATTGCATTAATTTAAAGTTGATACCCCCAAGCTGTATTCAGCACTTGATTTACGAACATTCATGCAGATTTTCAAAAAAGGCAATTTTTTTTAAATTGTCGTCGAACTTTTTTTTTTAAATTAAATAGTAGTGCATTATTTTTTAAAACTCAACCACTTGAAACATTTTGCAACTTTGAAAGTGTACTATTTGTTTTTAACTTTTTATTGTATAAACCGCTTTTGTATTTTTTACTGTTATTTATTGATTTTTTCTATTGTACTATACGAAAAATTATATTGTTTCTAAATGTTCTAAATAAATACATTAAATCCAACAGAAATAGAGAGAAGAAATTGTTTTTTCGCATAATTGTTCAGCAAGTTATACCATATAGAAGACTGAAAAGAAGCTTTTTATGTTATTTGGTTTAATTTATCAAGTTTTTTGTTTGTGCACCCATTGAAAATATGAAAAGTCGGCGCCCATGCTTCTGCCGATTAATTCCCTTTACACTAAACAGACAAAACAACTAAAACCAATGATAAACCCGTATTTTGGTGTGACCTGTATTTTTGTTGAATGCTAGACGTGGAAAAAGGATGTACTTCTCATGCTAACGGTTGTGATGGTACAACAGGTATATGATGCCCACATTAAGTAGCCTAAAGCATGATATTTAAGCATTTTCTAATGAGTGTTTTCCCTGGTAGACAGTGATTGTTTGTGATCTGCTGGGAAAATGAATAAATAATTTGAAAATTATAAAAATAGAAGGAATGCATGGTTTAGAGAGACCCCTAGGGTATAGTTTTGGTTGTTGTGGGATTGTGCTAACTTTGAATTTTTCCAGTCAATTGCTCAATATTCGGTCGGAAGAAGAAACAGTACAAGGATAAATATTTGGCAAAGCACAACGCTGTTTTTGACCAATTAGATTTAGTAACTTATGAGGAAGTTGTAAAGTTGCCAAGTAAGTGGTTTGAAATTAGTAAAACTGTGACTGATTTTTCTTTTAAGTGACTGATCCAGCTTTCCAGCGGAAGACCTTGGTCCTACTGGGGGCACACGGAGTCGGTAGAAGGCATATTAAAAATACTCTTATAGCTAAACATCCCGACCAGTATGCTTATCCTATACCACGTAAGCCCCCTTTTGCCTCATATTTAATTGTGGCTCAAGTGGGATTGTTTCAGATACAACGAGGCAACCTAGAGCCGATGAAGAAAACGGCAGGAATTATTTCTTCGTGTCGCACGACGAGATGATGGCCGATATAGCCGCTAATGAGTATTTAGAATATGGTAGTTGAGTCTGTGTGAAAATTTGTTTTGTTGTCATTTTGCACATTGTAGGCACGCACGAAGATGCCATGTACGGAACTAAGTTAGATACAATCCGTAAAATACATCAAGAAGGTAAAATGGCCATTCTTGATGTTGAACCTCAAGCACTCAAAGTGTTGCGTACTGCTGAGTTCTCACCATATGTTGTGTTCATTGCTGCTCCGGCTTTGCAAAACATTGCAGATGTAAGCGTCACTGTGGTGTTTGTAGAACACTCTTAGTTAGTTGAAAAAAAAAAAAAAAAGATTTCGAAGGAACTACAAAAATACCGAAAACTTTAACTAGTTCCATTTTGAAACTTTAAATTTTTTCTAAATTTTGCGCTTTTGGCGGAATAGATATTTTTGAGTTTTTTTCCAACTCAACCGAAGAATGTCGTTTTTATTCAGTGTTACGAGGTCTTATGAAATTTCACCAGATCTGATCATTTTTATTAGTGATTTGGTGAAAATTTTTGTAAACATTTTAGGAATACAACTGCAGTTAGGTACAACAGAATATTAATACATTTTGAAATTGTTTTTTTAAAACTAAATACTTGTATTTCCTAAAACATTTAGCAGAATTAGCTTTTTTCTTCGCGTAATCGTCAAGGAATAAAATTAAATCAAACAATTATTGGGCATTTTTTGAGTATTTTGCACGTTTTTCAGCTAGAAACTTTGCTATCTCTCCAAATTTCCTCAAAAATAAGTTGAACAACCACCAAATTATTTAAAAAATAGTTTTATAATTGTTTTTTTACAAGATATTGCTATACATGGTCAAAAAACTCCTAAATTTCACCGAAAATGAAATTGTTTTTGGCTTTTTTGAGTGTTTTAGCATCGTTTTCGGATAGAAAGGCTTAGTTTAATTAAAATTAAGGTGAAAAGTTATCAAGTCAGGCTAAAAGTTATGTTATTTCTGCCTTTTGTGTGTGTTTAGTCACGTTTTTAACATAAAAACATTTTTTTTTTCGAGAAATTACCAGATTACATCGAAATTCATATTATTTTAGTTTGTTTTGCTTAATTTAGTTTGTTTTTGAAACAGTGCTTTATTTATTTTCCGAAACGCGTCTAAAAATATATAAAAAACGCCAAATTTATGTTATTATATTTGTTTTACTCGATTTAGCTCATTTTTAAACGAGATTTCGTCAAAAATAAGCAGAAAGACCACAAAATTTGCTCGAGATGGTGTTAGTTTTTCTTTTTTAAGTCTTAAAACAAGTTTTTGAATTAAAATCTAATTTTTTGTGATAGATTGAAAAATCAACAAATTAAGTCGTATTTTTGCCTGTTTTCGAGTGGTTAAGTACAATTCTGAAAATATTGTTAAAAACGAGCCGAAAATTTACCAAATTAGTTCGAAAATGGTGTTATTTTTGTCTTTTTAGAATGTTTAATCACGTTTTTGAAATAAAAACTTTTTTTTTCAAAATGTTTAACTCTCAGAAATATTACTAGAATAGACCGAAATTCACAGCTTGTTTCTGTCAAATTAGTTTGTTTTTAACACCTAAAAAAATAAACGAAAAAATAAATAAATAAAATAAAAAATAAATAAATAAATTCAATTTGATTTTATTTTGTTTGTTTTTCTCTATTTCAAGCCGAAAAAACACAAAATATGCTTGAGAATGGTGTTTTTTTTATCTCTTTTAAGCAACTTTTTGAATTAGAATCTTAATTTTTTTCTGAGAGAGTGAAAAATTAGTAAACTAAGTCGTATTTTTGTCTGTTTTCCGAGCGCTTTAATACATTTTTGAAGCAGAAATGAAATTATGTTGCAAAATTTTGTACAAAACAAACCAAGAATTAACCAAATGAGGTCAAAAATGATGTTATTTTTGTCTTTTTCGAGTGTTTAATCACGTTTTTTAGCTAAAAACTTTTTTTCGATAAATTTTGTTTAACTGTCAGAAATATTACCAGAATAGATTGAAACTCATATTAATTTAGCTTGTTTTGCTTGTTTTAGTTTTTGAAACAGTGCCTCATTTAGTTTGCAAGATCTTGCTGAAACACACCTGGAAATAAAAAAAAGTTTAAACTGATTTTTTTGTATACGCTCCCAAAATGAGTTTTTTTCGGACTCAATAAAATAGTACACAAAACGGTTATTTTAGGTACTCCTACGTCGCCTTGTCATTAATTACGATTCGTCCCCTAAAACCCTATTTTGCGTACTTGATACATAAGTAGCTATTTTTAACCAATGTTGGGTACTATTTTATTGCGTCCGAAAAAGACTCATTTTGGGGACTCAAATGAGTCCGCAAAATCGCTATGTTTGGGAGCGTATACAAAAAATAGCTAAATTTTATTTTAATTTGTTTTACTCGATATAACTAATTTTTAATCGAGATAAAATAAGCCGAAAAACCACAAAATTGCTCGGTTGTTCGGTCTTATTTTTAAAGTCTTTAAGCAAGTTTTTGAATTAAAATTAGCAAATCAAGTCGTATTTTTGCCTGTTTTCGGAGCGCTTTGGTACGTTTATGACCCAGAAATGGAATTATTTTGCATAATTTTGTCAAAAACAAGTCGAAAATTTACCAAGTTATGCCAAAGTAGTGTTATTCTTGCCCTTTTCAAACGGTTGAGCACACTTTGGAGATGAAAACTTCGTTTTTTCCGAGATTTATGTAAAAAAAGCGTAAACCCTAGTCTTGTTTGTAATCGTTTACAGCTCAGATCTGGTGAATTTAATTATTTGATCCTTCGATATCTTCCTCAAATTTGTTTTTCCGTAGCACAAATTGAGTAAATATCTTTAATGTATGAACCCGTAATTGTAATGAAGCCATTGGTTGCTATTTGCTGTACCTAATAATAGGGAGGATTCTTGTTACACCTGTCACGTTATTAGTCTATCATCAATAATGATAAGGGTTTTTATGACAGTCTAATTAAGCTCTGTGTATCTTCTCGTGTGCTCGTTGACGTCAGTTGAACAAATAATAACTGAATCATCCGTTAACTAGCATATTCAAAGGCTTCATTACTTGGCTAATAGTATTTGTTTTGATTGTTGTGTATTTTTTGCCAGTACGACGGTAGTTTAGAACGACTCGCCAAAGAATCTGACATGTTGCGTCAGGCCTACGGGCACTACTTCGACTTAACAATCGTTAACAATGATATCGACGAGACGATCGCGGCCTTGGAAGCGGCCATCGAGCGCGTCCAGACCACTCCTCAATGGATTCCCGTCTCTTGGGTCTACTGACAACAGCCTTCATTGGAATACGGCTCACTGCAGAACTTCTGAGCCACGCTTTCACCGGTGTTTATTGAAGTGAATTAACAGTGAAAGAAGCTGCACCAACACACCACACACACACACACACATACTTGACACAGTAGTCTGAAAAAAAATGAAATCGCTAGTGTTTTGTGTTTTTTCGTTTTTCTTTAGCCAAACGGGTTTTGCAGTACTTCCAAAGACACGCTGATACCAAAGCCGAATTTGTTTCGTTTGCTAAGTATAGGATTAGAAATAGAGATGTTGAATGTAACGTTTCGTTCGACACCCGATCTTCATCAGTAGTTTCATAGTTTCTAAACCTACACAACGCACAATTCAATGAAATTTGAAAACAACGTAAAGAAACGATAATTTGCTTCAATATAAGAAAAAATATAGCAATACGTCTGAAGTATTAAAAACTTAACCGTAATTATTATATAATGTGATTAATGATGTTAAAAGTGCTCACAAGTACTATTAAAAATGCGAATAACTCGACAACGTCAAAATTCTGATTACGACCTCACTCATTTCTTGCTTTGATTTGATTGGTTCGCGAGCTTGTTAACGAAAAACATATCCGATTCGAGGATGACTAGGAAATTTTGATGGGAAAACCAACTGTGAAACGCATCAAATTCTAGATTTATGAAATATTGTACTATAAAGCTTTTCAATTTTTGATAGTGAGATAATTGTTCTCTTTTAAGGCAGTGGGGTTTAATTTTCATAATTTTCCGCTGTTATAAATTTATAGATAAGTGCCATTGTCGATTTTATGTAAAGAAGTCATTATTTCAGTTACGATTGAACACTAAAAAATTAAAAAAAAACGAAAAACACATTCATTAAAACTTATACAAGTGATTGCTTCCTCAAATAAGTGTACCTACCTACTTAAAAAATGAACTAAAGGGTATTCCTAACATAATTTGATAAAAAGTAGTGTAGCGTTTTAAAAGTTTGCATTTATTTGAAACATTAGGACAATGTAGGTTCAATATTTCTGAAATAAAATGTAATATAACATGAGGGGTGTTTTATTCTTATCCTGTGCCAATTGAGGAAACAAATGAATGCAATAAATGTGATTATGCAACCAACTATACAACAAAATAATTATTAATTATTAGTGATTAATAATAATAGCAATGGTTAGACTTGGTTTGTTATTATTTCAGTCTGTGGTTCCCAAATGAGTTCGATATTTTTTTTCATTAAAGTTTTGTAAAAAAAAAAAGCTCGCACATGCGCATTGTGTCCGTAATCAGCTGTTTTATCACGTTGCCATCTGTCACAACTGTCACAGTTGTCAAAATAAATCCCCCCCAGAAAAATTTTCAATGTTTGTGCTTTAATCACTCATAATTTCCGGCTCGTGCAAATAAATTACGTTAATTTATTCAAAGCAATTATTTTCCAAGCATTCAAGGTCGTTCTCTGTATGTTTCATGTCAGTCTGATTTCTATCTCCAATGCAAGCCTCCCCAATTTAATAAAATGGCAGCAGCTGAAGTCAACTGGAGGGAAGAAATTCTGACCAAATTACAAAAACGCAACAAGATTCAAACCCATTGCTTCCAGGATCTCATAGCACAGCGTGAGTTAGGGACATAACCTCAAAAGTTTGTTTTGATTTCTACTTCCAGATAATAAAATATTCGATAATGTGAATGCTTTGAAGCACGAAAACTTGCAATTGTCGATACAGAATGAGAAGTTGCGGGTGGACGGGGATAGGTCTGGGGGCGGCGGCGATAGCCGCCTCCAGGAAAAAATACAAATTTTGGAACAGAAGTTGTTAAGCCAGCAAGAGGAGCTCACCGAGTTGCATAGACGAAAAGGGGAGAATTCCCAACAAATTATCGATCTGAACGCCAAACTTCAAGAAAAAGAGAAATCACTAGTGGCGAGAGACATAAGGTTTGTTCGTTTTGAGGTTAGGTGTGATAGTTTAATTCTTATTTTGCCAGTCTTGCCGAGAGTGCAGCTAAAATCGCGAGTCTCCAAGCCGAAATCTCACTTTTCGACCGCAACAACAAGGAATTAAATCTCCTAAATGAGGCTCTTAGGGACGAGCACCAGGCCCTTCATCTGGCCTTCACGTGTCTTGAAGACAAGATGCGTAAGCTTCAGGTACTTAACTCGTGCCAAAACCCCTCAATTACATATCATTCAAAATTATTTTCTAGGACGAAAATAGGCAATTACTTGACCGTTTCATGAAATATAAAACGAAAGACGCCGATAGAATGAATGAAGAAAACGAGAATTTCCTCAAGTAAGTTGTTGGGGGTGTGGCTGGTGATGGAATTGCATTTTACTCTTCACTTTTTTTCACAACTGGCACTAATTTATTTGTGCTTTCAGATTTGTTTTTGCTTGGCTTTGTAGTTTTAGTAAAAGTCGGTTTTTGACTGTTGGCAGGAAATTAGAAGAATTAGTTCTGTCTTGAAATGCAAAAAATTGAATAATTGGGCTTGGTGGAAAATTTGAATTTGAAAGAATTATGTAAAACTTATGTTTGAAAGAGATAAGAGATAAACGTATTTACATTCTCGAAACGTGACACTTATTTGATTTGGATAATTACGATAAAACAAGTGGACTATAATTAATTTTTTGTGTTGCCATAACCGAAACTGTCAATTTTTGATTCACGTAATCTCACTCACTGTAATGAACGAAAAATTTTCTAGATCTGCAAAACCTGAATTAGAAGTAAAAAAATTAACTAATTTGCAAAAGTAAACTTTATCTAAAGCAGACTATAATTTCCGACGTTATATTTTAAAATATTCAGTGGTTATGTCTAAAAATGCATTTTTAAAGTTGAATTGTTAGGGAATTTGTTTGGTCTAGGTTTAGTGTTGGTATTACAAATTCATAAATTTAACTTAACCCAAACTGTCATAAACATGAATAGTATAAGTGTTATTTATTGTAATTTAGCAAAAGGGTACACAAAAAATTATGTATGTGACTCTCGCTGAAAACCGCAATCGAACTGGCTTACGGCGTTCCGCATTCTCGCTCGATATGCTCTATGTGTCTCTTTCGGCGCTTGTTACATAACTAATTATTTTATTTTTTAATAATTTTATTTTTGAGATAGGTAATTGATATTAAATGGTGTATTTTTTATTCAATTTAATTTATTTTTTTGTTGTTTTTGTGTGAGAATGAATGAATTTGTTGAGTTAAAGAAATATTGGAGAAATATTGCATGTCACTACAAGTAAGGCTCCTTCAGAACATTTTGCCTTGTTTTTAAGGTATATTTAAAAATTAACATTTTTCAAAGATTTTGCTTCAATTTTAAAGGTTATTTAAAAAGATATTTCAAGGATTCTGTCCTGTTTTTTTGAAACTCATGTAGATAAGAATAAAGTTAAAATGTCAATTTTACCCCGTTTTTAAATTGGTTTCACAACTATATAAAGTGTGATGAAGTCAGTCCAGAGACGATGTTAAAGCTAGTTCGTTAAGGCTTTTTCCTAACACCCTATATATGAGTCTATTCATTAAAACTAGTACTGTATAATTTGGCCGACCAAACCGGCCATAAAATTTATTCAGGTTAATTAGTTTATCAGCCAATTAGTTAATCCAAATTAACCGGTTAAATCAATTAACTAGTTAATCGGTTAAATTAGATAAACGGTTAACTAATTAACCAGTTAAATGGTTAATCGGTTAAACAGTAGATTCAAGATTTATATTTTTAATTGTGCATAAATTTCCAATGGAAGTGTTCTATGAGTCTAAAATTAGGTTGGTAACATATCTATCAAATTCAAACGTCACACTTTTATAGTCAATTCTCATTTATTTCACAATTTATTATCACCAACGATTTGGTGTTGCCAACCTAATTTTAAAGTTCAGGTCACTTTGATCAGAAATTTATTTGTAATCATCGTATAACAAGCTGTGAGGAAGGATAAAGAATACATTATTTTTACATGTTTATTTCTATGTAACTACAGATATGAGGAAAAAAATATTATTTACGAATTTTTCCATGTATAGGATTAAGGGCCAGTTTCATAATTGAATTTAAAGGAGCATTAAATTAAATGTTGTTTATAATGTGCTCATTCCTACGGACTTCCTGAGAAAAGTTTCACATTCTAAACCAACATTAACTTTAAAGTTCCTTTAATTCGATTATGAAATTGGCTCTAATTAGTAAAATAAAGTAAATTGGCAAATAATTGAAATTAACAGAAGTAAAACTAAAAAATTGATTTTTTGTTTTTAATTTATAAGGTTTGGAAAGTAATAAAACCAGCGTGATTCATTTTCTTACATGTTTGTTTATTACCTACCTTTTCCACCTTTACAAAAAGATAAATGAATTTTTAATGTAAAACAAGAGAAAATAATTGTTTTCATTTAAAGGGGAGTTTAAAAGTTAAAAAACAAAAATGATGAAAGGTAATACCTGCTGAAACGATGCAAACGAATAAAATTAATATCAAAATAAACAAGAGCCAAATAAAAGATAATGTGTGTAGAAAATTTCTTGTAAAATGAATAAAATGAGTAATAAGTTAAATAAAACTTTTTTTTGGAGATAATTTGACAAAATTTCAAAAAAGTTAATCAGTTTTTTTTTTGTTGAAAACTTTAACCGAACTGTTCAAAATTATTTCCACCATTTTTAATACACGTTTGAGCTTGTCGGATTCACTGTTCTCCACAAGCACGTTAGGGTGCAATTTGAAAAAGAAAGTTGAGTCACCTTTTTGACGTATGTCATTGTAAAGGTAGATTGATGATTTTTATCTAATAGATTTTGTTAACGCATTTAGGGCCAGTTTCATAATCGATTTAAAGGGACTTTAAAATTAATGTTGGTTTAGAATGTCAAATTTTTGTCAACAAGTCCATAGTAATCAGCACATTCTAAACCAACATTAACTTTAAAGTGTCTTTAATTCTATTATGAAATTGGCCCTTACAAATATTTATGGTTTGTTATATGTTATATGTTTTTATAAAAATAAGAAAATTACAAGGGGGCGAATACCAAATTGGAATACGGGTTATGATATAGAATATAACAGTTATTAATCAATTAATTAATTGATTACTAATAATTAATTATTAATTAATAATAAAAAAATGAAATAACGAAGAGCCAATCGCAAAACATACATTGGGGGAAGGAATATAAAATACATACTTCTTTGGGGTTTTATTATTTATCAAATTTTTTATTGTTATTTGGGAAAGTTGTGAATAATATCAACACGATTTGAGTCTGCTAATTTGTCTAGATTTTTTTATTAGGAGTATTATCTAAATATTGCTGATTTTTTTAAGGTCGTCGATTTAAAAGTCTCACTCGTTAATATTTCTCTCGGCCTCATGCAGTGTGCCAAAAAAATCTAAATGGCGAAATTCCTGCCATCCCACAGAAATTCCAATAATGCAACAAACTCAACCACGCAAGCGAATGATATACGAAGAATTCCTAATCACGAAACGCGGAAACAAAAAGCCTTGTTATAATGAAAAATCTACCATATTAATAGGTAACTTTATCCTCGTGCTTTACTCCGCGTCCGGGTATTAATGAGCTTGTCAGTTTCCTCTCGTTGTATATGTCTTTCCTCGAACTTGGCAAAGGTCTAAGATCAGCTGAATTCACCCTAGAATTATTCATCTGGCATACGCTCGAAAAATCTAGCTCTAATTAGCATGTGTTTTGTTTTTGTTTGCATGTCAGTAGACGATTTGCTTCTTTATGATTTTCAGCGATGGCGGTAATCACCTAGTGCGCAGCACTTTCGGCCGTTTCAGGTATGTTTTTTTTCTTTCAAAACCGAGTTTTGTCCTGTAGTCATGAGGAGGAGGTTATCAACGAAGAGAATTTTTTTTACAGGAAAAGATTTGCCAAGATGCAGAAGGAGATCGAAGAGGCGTGTAGGGACACGAGGGGGGTGTCACCGGAGGAGCTACAAGAAGGGTTTGGACCTGCTTGTCAGTCTACCATTCCCACGAAGGCAAGCGTTAAATTTGTAAGTTTTTACCAAACATCATTATACAGGATATCTCATCTAAGAGTGCGCTTAATAGATAATAAAAATATAAGAGGTGTTAAAAAGAACGTATGTCTTGATTAGTAACATTAATACCTATCAGTTATCTGGCAAATTTACCAGTTTTTGAGCATTGTTTTGTGTTAAATATTGATTATAATCAATTTTTTTAGAACAAACTGTAAATGTTTTATTCGTATTATGTTTCATGTATTTACTCACATTATTATATTGAGGTGTGTAGGGCTTTTGCGCTTATAATACACAAATAATAAATATAATATTTGGCTCGGCAAAAGAAGAAGAAACCATTTGGCAAATTCAAGACATAATTTTCTGACAAATGAATGAATTTTGAATTGAGATTAATGTAAGACGAACCTCCTAAACTCCTCAATCTCGCGTCACTACAGATCTTTCGCCTCACAACTTAATGAATTTTATTTTGTACTCAATGTTAAAGAGTGCTTTTATCTACTAATTTCAGTAGATAAACTAGTCTTTTATCGTCTAATGAAATAAAGTAATTTTTATCTACTGTTTATATTCAAGAAATTCTGGTAATGTGTACAAAATAAAACAAAATATTATACACGACAATAAAATTTGTTTATCTACTCGTGAAAAAAATTCCACTCGTGACTTCGTCACTCACAACCTTAACCTTTTCACTCGTAGATAAACAATTTTTTATCGTCTTGTATAATAAATAACTAATTATTAATTGAATTAATTATTTTTGATAACTTTTGTTAGTATTGAGACATTTCCTTACAATATTACAAGTTTGTAATAGGGCTGTTTTTTGTAACTCGATAATTAAATTTGAATTTAATTTTAATATTTTAAGATTTACTTTCAAATTGTTAATAACAGCCTCGTCTTTTACACATTTTAAAAAAGAATTTGAGAAATAATGCATTTTATTTAAAACACAACTAATTTCTCTTTATAAATTAACAAATACATACTTACTGTTTCACTGAAAAATCACCAATTCACACTTTGCAATAAACCAAAAAAATTAAAAATTAAAYTGTACTGACCTTATATGGCATCTTCTTCTGCTACCATTTGTAGCGATTCCCTTCATCTTTATAGAACGGACCTACTGAAATAAAAAAATACAAAATCAGTACACTGTTTTTATTAAATTTGTTGAAAATGTTAATAATATTTAAATGGGATTTGTCTAAAAAGTTGTTGACTTACTCTTTAATCCAGTTCCTTGTAGCACGATTGTCTGAAAATTTCATTCATTGGCACTAATCACTCGAAATTTTAAAAATCGCGCACTACTAAATGTCTATTAGGCACTCGTAAATGCACAACACACACTCACTGTATGAACAGCTCCCATTTCAACACAATTTCGCACTGAACCACCAAATAACTAATAATTTATCCGCATAATTATTACAATTCAAGTAACTCGTACGGGAGCTTGGCTAAGACTGATTTGTTGTTGTAATAATTTTCTGAAAAATGGTACAAAAACAAAAACCATCTCGTAACAGTTCCGGTGTAAAAGGCCTTTGTTCTTGGCTGCATAATCCAGTCCATTCGCAACGTCATAATTTTTTAAACAAAAATGATTAGATTAGAAACATTTTTCTAAAATAAGAATTGAATAATAAAATAGAAAAACACGAGCGCCACTTGTGATTAAATTTAGTTTTTTGGGCATGCAAAAGAATTAAGAAAAAGTGGTGAAAAAGTTCTCAAAAGTTTTTGGTCAAAAAAAAAAAATAACGAATGCTATTTGCGACTATTACTTGTCGGGGCATCTGTCCAATTTTAGAAATGCAAAAAAATACGAAAAGTTTGGTGATGTTTAGGGAAAGTTCTTGAATAATATTGTAAGTTAAATAAAAGTAACTTGCTTTTTTTGTTAGGACGCGCACGACGGCGAAGTAAACGCCGTGAAGTGGAGTCCCGTGGACCGGCTGGTGGCCACCGGAGGCGCCGACCGAAAAGTGAAGCTTTGGGAGATATCCAAAGGTCAGTCCTGACCCTTCATGTCATGTCTGTGTTCAAAATAAACGTTTCATGTCCATTTCGTTGTTTTTATTTTTGTTTCCTATTTTTTCGCATTTTAGGAGCTTGCGAAAGCAAAGGCATGCTAGTGGGCAGCAACGCTGGTGTGATGGCCGTCGATTTTGACTCTTCTGGTACGATGATTTTGGGTGCTTCGAACGATTACGCGAGTCGAGTTTGGACAGTGGCGGATCAACGTTTGAGGGTAAGTTTCTTTGTGGCTGAATTTCCGGTGAATATATTAGCTTTGTTAGTGCGGCCTGCTGGCGGTTGGGTTGCATCACTCATAACGAACGTGTGCACGTATACTTGCTTGTTATTAAATGTAATTATGGCCGTAACGGTGGTACCAACTCAAAAATCGATTGATGGATGAATGCCCCGAATGTAATTAACAGTTCGACGCGAGATTAAGTGCTCGGGAATTTGTTCGCTCTGCCATTCAAAAGCGAAATGGGGGGAATTGTGATGGCTTTATGTTGTCTCAAGCAAATAACTCGAAACTAAAATTCTTCCAATTGAGTTTAAAAAAATTGTTCGATTATATTTTAAGCTATTATGTATTTCAAAAAGGTCAAACCACTGGTGTGTTATTGAACATTGAAAAATCTATTTCCACACAAAATTTGTGTCTGTATTATGGGGCTTAGTCGTTTACAAACTAGCCACCGCTTTTTGTTGTCTAGAATATTTTTACGATTTTCTTGAATTTTTTCTCTTATTACTTTCAAAAAAAAAAAATTTGGAAAACTTAAGGAACTGTATCAGCTTACACAAATTTTATTTGAGTTGGTGATTTATTTTTAGGGGAAATTATTATAGGTAAGTATTTAGAAAATCTATGATTTCATGATTTTTTTTGTCATTTCCGTCATTCTCAAAAATGAGAAAAATGCAATATAAAAATTCGTTCTATTGAAAGTTGTTTGTCTGACTACACAAATTTCATTTTTTGTGGATGAGGACTTAAATTTTGAGCTAAATTAATGTTTGAAAAAAAATCTAGGACATGCGCAGTGTTATGCCACATGAAACAAAAGCTTTCCAAAAATAAACCAATAAAAAAGGAAAGCAAAGTGTAACGATTTAAAATAAAGTCTAGCAAATAGCCAAAATTGCATGACACAAGTCAAGGAGGAACTGATGCTTCACACGCTGAACCAACGAGAATTCTTCGCCTGAAGAAGATACCATTAAAGTATCGAAATGTCGCGACGAATTTAATGTTTTATTTCCCTGTGTCCTATAAACCATTTTCTACGCAATCAGGCTATCATGTTTTTTATGCTATTTTTTCTATTTTGCGCGGTTTACGTGCTTTTTTAACATAAGACATTTTTTTTTGCCCTAATGAGGTGGTGGTTGGTAATAAATGTCACAAAGTTTGAAAAAATCGATTTTCGAAGTTTGAAGTCTCGAATATTTTTCAAAATTTTGTTGAATTAACAATGAATACTGCAAATATTTCATGCACACCACCAGAAATCAGAGAAATCGCTCAAAACGCCGCTGAAAATCACCAACCTCTAGAAAGTAAATTGTACTAGTTTATTTTAGCACCCGAATTGGTGTTGAAATGGTTTATTAAAGCATTGGTTTTGGTGTCGAAATGAGCTTTCTTTCAGGCGAAAAATAGAAAAATAATTTTTTGATCGGTAAAAATTGCATGTTAGATTAAAATAGTATATTATATCACAAGGTAGAAAAGATTTTTTTATTTTATATTAATAATAAATGCGAGGCTACAAATATATTTTGTGTTTTATATAACATTTTTTTCACTATACTTATTACTCAGAAATAACTATAACTTTGAAATAACTATTATTTTTGTTATTTCACTATTACCTACAGGAATTAATGACTTACCTGACTTATTGTTATTAGCTTAAGTTGGAAGTATTTTTAATTCTTATCGTAAATGTGGTGATGTCATTTTTGTACTTCTGAATAACAAAAACTGGAAAGAAAAAACTAAAAGTGTTAAAATGTGTACTACTGCCGGAATTATTTCAACACAAAATAAACCCATTTGTGGTTTTGACAGTTTTGACATAGACAGAAGTATTAGAGGTGGAATTATTCTGATGTTTTTTAATGAGGATGTTTAAGGTTCAGTTTCGTAATCGTATTTAAAAAAGCTTTAAATTAAATATTGTTTAGATTGTGCTGATTACAGATCTGTTGACAAAAATTTTGCATTCTAAACCAACATTAATTTTAACGTTTCTTTAAATCGATTATGAAACTGGTCCTTTGTCTTTTTTGTTTGATTTTGCTTTACTTTTATCTCGAAATACTTGCGTTAGTATACTTGTAATGTAACAGTTTTGTTTAATTTATTTTTTATAGTTATAATATTCTAGTCATATGGGAATCAATGGAATACTCTCCAATAGCGGTGTTTACCCACCTCTAATACATTATTACCCTTGGTGTATAATGAAAATGATTATTGACTACTAGGAGAGAAGAACAACTTTAAAAAACAACTTTACAACCTCTCGACAAATTAAATAATGGTACCTTTTACAACTAGTAGTGAGAAAAAATAAAATAAAATGCTTTCTCTGGTGATGTTTTTCTGAAAATGGCTAAAATAGGCAACCCTGTCTCGAACAAAGGGTCATTACTTATCTCCTCTGATTAGATTTGTGTAACATCGTAATTCTCCACAATCCGTTTCCTCGTGTTCCACAGCCGGCGGCTCATCCTTAACGAACCGAAACTAAGAAGTCGATAATTTGCCACATTTCATGCAAAACATCTAAATAGCAGTCTCTTCCATGCACATCGTGACGTCTTCCACCGGTGCTCTCGTCCCACAAACCGTCGATTTTTCGCACGAAAACGTTATAATATACATTTAAATATTTGAAGGAAGTGCAAAAGATGACGTTGCATGCGTGGAGATGTAAAACGCGGGACCCAACAGGTGTCAGACGGGTTAATTTATTGCAGCGTGCTGTAATCTTCATTAACTCCCGGCCAGCAAATGAACGACTCGTTTATATGCTCATAAGTATAATAAATAAATGTCGTGGATGGGCCGCTGGCCCGGAAACGGGGTTGACTTCATACAGGGTGGCCCAGTCGTGAGAAAATTCGAATTGGCGATGATCGTAAATGTTTTAAAGCCGTAATGAAATAAATTAGAGCAAGAATGGGGATGGAGAAAAATTCAATGACAGTTTTATGGAGAAGTGGCGCCGATATTTCGAAGAATAAAACTCTGTGGTTTTATTAAATTATTTATTTATTTTACAGGTAATTAAGTTTTTATTGATTTGTAATTATTGACAAAACCGGATAAAGTCCGGATTGAATAATTTTACATAAATCACTCGGTGATAGGACAAATATTTACTTGACCACAGTTTGTGATTTGTTGACTCGAATTCATCCGAATTTTTAAGGTATTCGGTAAAATTCGCCTAACTTTATTGTAGGGTGCCTACTATAAAACACTATTTTAATAGCGCCACGATAAAACCAGACATATTATTAAACGTGTGTAAATAAAAGTGAAATATAACCTAATTAAAAGCAACTGCGTTTTGCAATGAAATATAATGTGCTATAAAATTGACTAAAATTAAAAGAATTAGTTTAAATTTAGATGGGAATATGTATTTAGTCTGCATATCTAACAATGTGGTAGAAGTTGAATAAAATAAAATTGCAAAAGTTGATTTTAATGATGTTAACTCAAACAGAAATGTACAAATGCCAAAAGGAATTCTCATATTTAAATGTTGGTAGTTTGAAAATAAAAATACTAACTTACAAAATTGCATACACTTTGTTTTTACTTTTTTAGTTTTTGCTTTAGTGAATATATGTATAGCGAACATTTCATTAAATGGTCTGGGTGAAACGAAACGCATTTCCTTCATAAAAAGCATGATTAATAAATGTTTTCATGCAGTATTGAAAATATGAAAAATTTGTAGTATCACTTGAAATTGAAATTTGTAGGGAAATATTTTTCAGTTAGCACATTGTTTTAGAATTTGATTACGAACATATAACCAGGTGAGTCACACCCAAAACACCTTTTTCTGATTAAATTAAAATTATGAAATGTATAAAATACATTACATAATAAGTACTAACCTTACTAGGAAAAAAACATTAACAAAAATTTTAATTTATTTCAAATTAATCTGTTAGGACCTCCAGTCTAATTTATGATTTGATAAGTTGGAATAATAATAAATTTCCGAAAAAAAAGGCTCAAAATTTTAATAACTAAGCAAATTTACAACCACGTTAACGTTAACAATGTTTACAAGCCGATTTTATGACAAATACCATAGAATTTGTCCACACTGATGCAGTCTTTTGTGGAAGAATTTTGAGATTGTACCGTGCCATTAAAAAAAAAATCAATTAGAGTAGGCGACAATTAATATTCTACAGTTGGCCACAATTTTTGCTGGAAATTTTCCACACAAAACTGGAAGTGAAAATGACCATTCACCATTTTCATCTTGTACAGCATTTTTGTAATAACTTGCAACAATAAAAAATGTCTGCTCTAAAGCTAACATTATTTCACTCAAAATGAAAAAACCCAAACTTGTCAAAGTTTCCGCTGACATTTGATGTGCTTAACAACGTAAACTAGTAACCGTTTCTACGAAAACGATTCACAAACAACCTTTGATAATTTTATTGTGGAAATTCAACTTTTTTCAATGCTCATAAAAGATCGTAAATGGGCAGGTATAGTAAAAAATAGCGTTTAACACTCGTTTATAAGCGCCTTTAAAACACTTACGACGTTAAAGCACTCCGCTGACGCATTGTGTTCTTAAACCCGTCGTGCGTGTTTTAAAGGCTTGTTTATAAACTAGTATTATAATATATTATTATCGTACATGCATTATATCTAACCGTCTTACTTCAACCTTGTGTCTTCAATTTTTAAATGAAAATGTACCACTACCACTGCTCGATGAAGTTTCCTTAGCAGTTAGATTTTATTGTTGGTTAAAACATTATGGTGCACCATAATACCAGTGAAAAATTTTTTGAATGAAAATTTTCCTGAGAGGTGGATTACCTTACATCATCAGTTCTGAATTGGTTAGATTTAGAAAAAGGTTAACGCAATTCTGAAAATGTAACTCGTTTTTAGGCTGCTGTGATTCTATACTAAACCGCGCGAATGTGTGTTTTGAACTAGGAGGCAACCCATTTGAGCATATTTTGTGACTACAGATGTTGAAAATATCATGCTTTACAATAATATTCGTTTTTAGTAAAGTTTGAATGATAAATTTTAGTTTTTTCTATCAATAACTTGATAACGAAGGACAATCGGGAAATTTTCTACTCTTAATTTTCGATTTATGTTAGGCTCTTAAAACAAAGCCCAGAAGCACGGCCGTCCATTTTGAGACACCTTGCCTATGTATAGGCAAAATAGCGTTAAGTTATGGGAATAATTAATTAAGGTAACAGTGAAAAATATCATAGGAGTAAACAATTTCAAAATTGGACAAAATCTTCTTTTATTTGAAGACATGGAGCTGTAGATTTTGCTACAATTTTAGTTTAATTAAAAAGAGGTGTTTGGGGGATGCTGATAAAACTTGATTTACCGGATTTGATTATATTTTTAGATATATATTTTTACTTTATTTTCAATTACTTCTTAAGTGTAATTATGTTTGCTGCTGTTATTCAAGACTAATTGCTTAAAACGTTCAACAAGCATTTACATTTGTAAATCCTGCTTCGATTGCAAGTTGCACGAACCCAATATAAATAGACGGCCATAATTCAGTGGACCGACTTAGGCGATTTCAAATAGAGAGAGGATAACTCTAGGTGATATATTTGTTACAAATACATCGTTGAATAATTCATGACGAAGCTCTGCCACGTACTCATAAACTCTGCCACTAGGAAAAATCATGATGTGGCAAGAATTTCATTTGGGAAGTGCGTTTCTCGCTTGCTTAAGAAACTATCGGGTGTCTATGCGTGGAGTTTGTGTTGACGTAATCTCGACATTTATTAATTTAACGAAAATGATATAAGTGCTTCGAGGGTGTTGTAATGTCAGCTTCTGTCATATTTAATTTAATTCGGAAAGTTTGCTAGCTAGATTCCCAAGTTTGAATTTTGATTAAGTAAGTGTGGTGATGGAGGCAACGAGCCGGGAAGTTCCAAAAGAAAAATATCAAATTTTTTGACTGCAGAGTATTGTCTAAAATTTATTTCATAATGACTTTTTTTTGTACAGGTACACTAAAAAAATGTTTTTTCTTAGATATTTTAAAAATTGTTGATTTTTACTTAATTGAAACCTGTTGAATTATAGAAAAAAATCAGGTCAAGTCAAGTTATTGTTGATAAAATAGAACAACAGATTTGGAATCCAAGCTTCTAACTGCTTTTGTTTTAAGTTTGTAAATTTTTTATGTATTATTCTTAGAACTGTCAAAAGCGTTAGAAACTCGATATGGTATACGAGTTTTGGTGTTTTGGGAAAAATTTTGTAGTCTTTCTACATCTATAAAATTCTGTCTTAATGAAGTACTGTTCGCGGAAATGATAATCTAGTTACTTTAATAATAACCTCAATGGGGTTATATTTTATGCTGGTAGCTTCCCGAAACTTTGGCTACCGTTCGCCAGAGGCCAGTGTAAAAAAAATGTTAAAAATCAATCTTACTTAGAAGGGCTGTTTCGTCAGATAATAAATTTCTTTCACTAATTACTAATTACTTTTATTTTTTCTTTTTTCCATCCCTCTATAATTAGCAGTAGCCAAGTCGTATTATTTATACCCGCGATAATGTATCTTGTGTTTCTTCTTATTGTCATAATGTAATTACCTGCGACATAGCTGGCGGTGGCAATAAAACCCTTGCCTGAATACCAGTTAAGTCTTTATTATCGTAACATTTTTCCTCTCCACTGAAAGATTTAAAATTTACGTCGGCATCTCCCCGGTTATATTTTCGTCTCGCCGTCATATTTCCTTTTCCGGAATTGTAACAATGTTGTTTTGAGCGGTCGTAATGGCAAAAAGCACGCGTTATGTCTTTTTTCCTCAAGCACATCATCATATGTTAGTGACGTTGGGCGGAGTGATCTGAAATATCTCGCGACTATAAAAGCACTCACTGATCTGAAATAAAAACACGGAAGCGGATTTTTTTATGAGATTTGGCGTTAGGTGTGGTCTGGCCTTTGGCTAACAAATTACCTAATCTATTATCTGCGTGGGTAATTAAGATTTACACAAATGCACGAGAGGATTGTGTGTACATAGAGGTTGAGCATCTGCATAAATCAATCATCGGTTAGGCGATGCCTCGGCGGGTATATATCAAACTCTCGTTTAACACGACTTCAAACAGTTAGACGAGTTTTTTACCAAACAAGGGAGGAGAAGAAAAATGTTAAATAACCGTTGAGAAATTGATAATTTTTGATTTTTTCTTTGAGGTTATTTACGGCGGAGTTTACGACAAACGCAGTGACATGTCATTAAAGGTCAACGTTTATAGCATCTTCACTTAATTAAATGATTACATTCCGTCTACTCCCTGACATGAAATACTACCAGTGTGGTCTCACCTTTTAAAATTCCTCAAGTCTGGATCGATACTCCAAGTTTAACAATAGAAGTTTCACCAAAGTTACTAAAACAGAAATTTTCTACACAGATTCTCGACTAAACAAGGTGCTTCCACAATTTACAAGGTTAATTGATAAAAGGGATATGTTTTTGATGTTATGGCGGGGCTTGTTTATTTCAACTTGGGTGAAACTAGTCAAAACTGTTTAACGTCGAGTTTGGACGCTCATGTCTGCGTCGAGCGTTTTCGATTGTGGTGAATACCAAGCTTCCACTGAAAATGGATAATTGTTACACTCGTAAAATAAATGATTGGTGAACTTGAAATAGTTTTTTTATTATGCCTGCATCATAATCCAAAATTAAAACAAGCTGCAGCGTGCGTAATTTGGCCTTTATAGCACGCTGAATTTTAAAGTTGTCTAGGTAACAAGCAATAGTGAAATGTCTGGACCAATTACAACGTGAAAAATGTGCTTAACAACGTAAACTAGTAACCGTCTCTACGAAAACGATTCACAAACAACCTTTGATAATTTTATTGGGTAAATTCACATTTTTTCAATGCTCATAAAAGATCGTAAATGGACAGGTATAATAAAAAATAGCGTATAATACTCGTTTATAAGCGTCTTTAAAACACTTACGACGTTAAAAGCACTCCGCGGACGCGTCGTGCTCTTAAAACCCGTCGTGCGTGTTTTAAAGGCTTGCTTATAAACTAGTATTATAATATACTATTATTTGATAAATTTTATTACCAACATATTATAAAATGTCTCGCTAAAGGTTTTATTTTTTTTAATAACATATTAAACAATCACGGTCAAGGACTTAGTGAAAGATGTTTTATATAGGTAGTTATTTCACTAACACCTCAAATAATAAAACAGAATATTATTATTGTTTTTGCTTTTAAATTCACTCCTAATTGGGATTCATGAAAGAGTGTTGAATGAATTGAATCAAAATAAAAATAAAAATTCGTTAGTTTACTAATGAGTTATTATGGAATTGTTATTTTTGCACAAGTTTTATGAAGCATCTAATTTAAATTTGAAAAAATTTAGTAGTTATTATAAGCAGCACTAAAAATAATAATTAAACCCGTGATTATTGGCAATATGGTTCTTTTAATGAAGAGGATGTTATATATTATATTGTGAGTGGTAATGCCTCAAGCTTGATTTAATTTTACGATTATTGTTTTAACCATTCTATTAATTTTTTGAAGTGGGTTGGAAGTAAAAACTCATCTCATTCAATTCATATATTTAGAAAAGTCAGAATTTATAACTGAATACATTCAGCGCATAACTTATAAATAGTATAAAATTATAATAATTACCTAAATATAAAAAATATATGGTATTTGTTAAAAATTATTTAAAGGCGATTAAGCATGGATGATTTTGCAAGTCGATGAGCAAAATCGTCCAGACGTTGCACTCAAGAAACTAGGACAAGCAGTTTTAAATAGCATTCATTCGTCACCATTCGTCCATATTGCAGTTGAATAATTAAAAAATAAATGAGTTAATTATAAAAAAATAAAATATAGATTCATTCACGCTAGATCGTCCTAGAGTCCATTCGTGCGTCTCGCCCCTTTAATAGAAAAAAAGAGTAACGTTTCACAAAAAAATTAAACGCTGACCTGAACCTCAAGCTTAACACAAACTGCAAAACGTTACTAAAGATTTTTCCTATGAGAATTTTTTAAATAAAATTACCTAAACGAGTATTATTCTAATACGTTTGCGGTGTTTTAAGATCTGGCATTGCAATACAGAAGAGATTTCGACGACGCGTCCGCGACTAAAACGTCGATAGCCGCTCTCGACACGTCCCGAAAAATCGCAGGTATATTTACGCGCGAGTTAGGGTCCGTACGGCGCTGTACAATAATATCACACGCGATTTCGGTTAGAAGCGGCGGGAGTGGTTATAACCGGATTCGTAGAGTTTGCAAAGGCTGTCGGTACGGCCGGAGCTCAGTCCCGAGGGCAAGCTCACGCTGACTGACATTCCGTCGTTGAGTTTGTTGGACCTTCGCCTTTGCCAGATAAAGGTCCACAAGGCAATGATGAGGAGTTGGGCCGAGAGAAAAACAGCACCGGCGACGATCAAACCGGCCATGTTTATGCATACGCCGGACTCGTTGGGGATGAAGACGGCCTCAGAGTCCAGGGATCTGTTGGCGTCGCGTTCGAAGCCGAATTTGTCGGTGATTTGGATGGATTGGACGAGGAGGAGGTCGTCGTGGGGGTCGGTGGAGCGGCGACGGCGACGTCGACCGTAGGAGACAACAGAGCGAAGGTCACCGGAGGATTCCTCCTGGTCGCATTGCACAGGCTCGCAAGTGGGCATACAGGGGGTTACCAACGCGCGAAATTGGACCACTTCGGACGACGGGAACTTGAAGGCGTCGAAGTGCGACAAGAGAATCTGGAATAAGATAAAAAGAAATTTTAAATTTCGCCCTAAACGACAGTTTGCTAATTACACGCGTTTTAATCTTTGATCAGTTTAATTAAACTCCCAAATGTCCGAAAACTAATCTTAAAGTAGCTCCACCCTTCGATCAATTTAAATATTGTAAAAGTGCTCCGCCTCTTGAGTATTTAATTACATACCTTGCCAGATTCGGCTGATTTGTAAATAGGACCCATGATGAAATGATCGGTGGGACACCCATCCGAGTCTATAAGAACGATTTCGCTGGAGTCAACACCATCCATCGCTACCAATTCTCTGACGAAGATTTCGTAAGGGCTGTTCTTATCCATGATTTCGAAACGAAGGGCTAGAGGATCGCCGACTTCAGCTGATGGCATGACATCTCCACCGGAGCGATCGGTGATCTTCATTGCAACGTTAGGAGAGTCGACGGTGACTTCTTCAGAGAGGGCCGGTTGGATGTCTCCGTGGACACCTAAATCGACTTCATTGGTCACACTTTTGTTAGTTAGGTCGTACTGGCATGTCACGGCAAGTCCGAGGTCTGAGCTGGTGACTATCTTGTCATGATGTTGAATCACCACGTCGTTGATATATCTGTGGGAAAAAAAAAATTGAACTTGCGGAAAACACCAAAAAACGAGCTTACCTCCCAAGTCCATTTTTCCGCACGTTACACTCTAAATTGTCGTAAGCCATCGATAATTCAAATTCGAGGCTATTATTGACGTCGCGTACGCAAGAATTTGGACTTCCTTTAGCGTAGATTTTTCCATCGAAAAGCTTGGATGTTTGTATCCGAGCCACCATGTCTCCCGACCGACAGTCTATACTAACGTTGTAGCACGAGCTCAATTCGTACGTTGCCGCCTCGGGGACCTCCAAATAAGGATCCTGCAGGACGAGAACGAATGTTAACATATCACACAGGAGCTAAATATTCATGAAGCTTATTTAAAGCGGCATGAGTGACAAGACGATGAGATTTTATTAGTAGGGGACCGGTTTAGGGTTGTTGCAAAAATTCGATTGAATTATCATCAGCGGCGGATGTGGTTGCCGTGAGAAATCTTAATATTCATATTATCTCCACAAAAGCGAAGTGATATCATTTTGGTTTTTAATTGCTCGGTAAATATTCATGAGATGGGATATATAAGGAAGGTCGAGGTGGATTTTTGGTGTCGGTATAATGGAGATGTGCAGGAAGTGGAGCTGAGATTTGAATATTAAAGAAATAAATATGAACAGGTGACACGGAACTGGCCATGGGAGTGGACTAGTTTGCGTTTTTTGAGTGAATAAAATTTGCAACATTGTGTTTGAAAGAAAAAGTTCCGCTTTAAATTAAAATTGATTTTTCCAAACTCTGAAAGTCCCATTTTTCACAACATTTAATAATCCAATTTTTCTGTTCTTTCTTCACATTTTTATTTGGAAAGCCGACGTGATGTGATAGAACGTGTTAGATAAGGCACCAACCTGTATGTCTGCAAGAGTGGCACGCGAGTGATGACTGAGCCTGCAGACCATCTCTCCCGTGTCACCGTAATCGTACGAATGACACCTGTAGGGCGAGTTGAGACACAACTCTCTGCATTCATCAACCGACCCGACGTCTTGGTAGACCGAGTCGACGGTTTTGAGTATTCTGCCGTTCAATTTCTTGAATTCACAGAGTTTGGAAGGCTCTTCGACGCAATTATTTTCCATGTAGTCGTATCCATCAGCGGCTAGGAAGGCGGAACTTCCAGCGAGGGTGAGCCTATCTAAAGCTGATAGTTCACAATCGCCTGTTGCGTTATTGTAGTTCGCCGATCTGTAACAAGAGATTTATTGAAATAAACGACAGTGGGCATATTTGATAAGATAATGGTCGGTGATTGCGGCGCTGAAGCTTTGTAAGGTCCGAATGGCAGGCGATCCATCTTGGGATCGTGCTTTACATATGTAGACATGTACGGGCAGTTAGTTTAATGCCCGCCATTATTCCCCGGCTAAATAGACTATAACTCTTGGTTTTTTCTTTTAATAAGTGTTGTTTGATGGGCGCGGATCGCTCACGATGGATTATGGTCATTGTCCCATCTCATCCGGAGGATTGATGGGACCGGAACTGCCCAGTCCATCACGAGCAACTTTGTGATAAATTATTTATCACCGGACAACAACCTTATTACCATTGGGCTTTACACTTGTTAATCACAGACTAACGACATGAAAAACCAAGTGTTGGGGGCTATTTATGGCCGAGCATTGTCTCGCCCTAACAGGCTCGATGCCATGTTAGGGCTCCAACGATGAAGATGCTGCGTTCAGCACTACATAACCTAAGGCATTATCTTTACGTGATTCGAATGCCCTTTCCCTTTCGCGTTATAATTAAGTGAAAGCTAAGAACTTTGTATAAAAGGCGGCGAACGGACCGGAATTATCTGATGCGTAAATCTTAATATTGTCAACTTAGTGGAGCGAACCAACATACAATATGTGGTTGCGACGCTCTAAAGGGTATTGTCTACACTTTCACATAAGCAATAGTATTGAAATGCCATTTTAAATTGGATTGATTGTACGATATGGCAGCGCCTAGCCGACGCTTATGGTTATGAATAGGCTACTATGACGACATAGAGACTCTTGTTAGAATACAATCGCCAGATACTGAATCAACAACACGTGAAGCTGTATCTAATTGTCTCAATTCTAATTACTTAACGCCTTTTGGAAGAGAATGAAATAAGTCTACTTGTTGGCATTTTTTTAAATGAATAATTCATGTAAAGCGCTTTTGATTTCGTGACACAAACAATTTGTTTAACTAACTACCACTTTACCGGAAAGATCGTGAATAGATTAAACTCGTGAGTTAATTAACCTTAGTTACTGAGGTGTTACTCTACACAATTATTGTAACATCTGACCAAGACTTAAAAAAATTGAAATTTGAATTGTTTTCAAGACTATTCTTTTTTTGACAATATAATGTTTGCTACATTGTCGAAAGTCTAGCTTATCTTCCTTCCTATTATTTTTTTTATTTGTTATTTTTTGCAGTCTATCTATAGATAACATGTTATATTTTTTATGTAGGTTTATACTTTTTATAAAAATTGTTTTTTTGATGGTCAATAACACTTCAAAATTACTTAACTGCTTATAATTTTTATGTAGATTGTTACATTTTTCAGTTTTTTTTTTTGGAATTTAAATGAAACTATACATACGAGTACAACCATATCACAATGCTGTTCATGTCATAAGCGTTAAAAAATAACGATAAGACTTATGTTGTCATGTTGTGAAATGGGTCAATATTGTTCACGAGATCCGTCATCAGCAGCCCTGCAAATATCTGTTTTGTTCTAAACGTGTTTGTGATTGACACAGCTCTGGGAAGTTCTCAATTCTTGCGATTGTGCACCGATCTATCATCAATTTCACTCTCAATGCCTTGAATATTCCCATCTAATTGGCGTTTTACTTTTGAATTTTTGATGGGCCGCAGTCACGCCACTACTCATGAGAACTTGCATCGTCGATTTGCGAAATCGATAGTACGGATAATTGTGGTACGAGATGAGATTTCCATTTCTTCCGCGCACCAGATCGTGCTTTAGAACGTGAAAATATCTTCCGATAACGTGCAATTGAACGTTACGAGTGGCTTGTGATTTGTTAATCGAAATGGGAGTTTTACGTCGAACGACGTTTGTGCATCTACATGACAGTAGCAGCAACAACGTGAATATGACAGGCCATCATTTCATTGCGGGCATAATTCATGCCGCGTACAACGAACTCGCTTTTATCGCCGACAATGACGGCGGGAAAGACAGAGCTTTTCGACGACGAGGAGTTGCACAAAAGTGAATGACTAGACAGTAATCGCGAAAAGGACGTTGTCGAGATATTATTTACGCATATTATTACAGACGGTAAAGTATTTATTATCTCGGAGACGTGTGTGTAAGCTCGAGACACACGCTTTTTCTCTGCCACCGTAATTTATGGGCATTTTTACATCACTGTACACCTGTTACTGGCGTCGATTACCACCTAGAAGCCTATAATCTGCAAGCCGCACCACCGAAAGCGCAATCGAAAATTATAACTGCCCAAACATAGCACAACACGGTAATAGACACTTAAACAGACATCTTAAACGCTGCCTAGTCTGCAGAACACAAAAAACTAAAGTGAATTATTTTATTTAATTTTCTCAAAGGAATGTTAATTGACAGACAAAAGAAACTTTTTCCGTAAATGTTACGGGAAAAAATTGTAGGAAAATTCTTTGTATTTATGCCAAAAATGATAAAAAATAAAAATGTGAAATTACTGAAAAATATGACACATTTATTTTAATAATTATTTATTTAATTCAATATTAAAAAAATACGAATTTCAATGTTGATAAGTATCTATAAAAAACAATAACACGAAAGGGGAACTCATATTTTACAATGTTTTTAATAGTTACTTGTTTATTGCATAAAGTTGTGTTTATTTCCAATCTTTTAGACAAGCACGCAAATATTTATCTGAAATTTTTGCAATACATAAAATGAAATATGAAAATTTGCAGAAGACTATAAATTTTTATGAACTATAACAGTTTAGGAAATTTTGGCAAATTTTTTGATGTATGATGACTGCTGAGTGATAAGTAATTATAATCATCGATTACCCTATAATTGCCAATTGGTTGTCTAATTTTTTATGCTATATAAAATTATTCAAGAAAAACATTCATGTTTTTTATTTTTATAATTTGTATCAGAAACGAATAATTTTCTTTTTATTAAAAATTAATTCTGGAAGAATATCGTTAATATTCCCTTTATACAGGGTGTTTATGGTCTTGAGGTTGAAACTTAAATGAGATGATATTCACTCAAACTAAGAAAACTAATTTACTACAGGGTGATTCAGCTTAAATGACCCACCTGACCCCTCTTGGCAGACAACACATAATACATTATGTACTTATTCCTTTATTCAAAATTAAATTTTCAAAATATCGAGAATCAAAGAACGATATTTTTCGATTCATGAAACTTTCAAAATTCGAATATGAATCAAGGAATAATTGCTTTGTGTATTATAGGTTGTCTGCCAAGTGGGCTCTAATGGGTCATTTAAGCTGAATAATAATAAAACAAAAATTCACGTCATAAAAGGAAATAAATTATTTTATATTAGTTGTTTGAGAACTGCTGCTTCGGCTGCTACAATGGCCATTAGTATCATTACTTATGTTTCACCGTAAATCATAATCGCGACAACTAATTTATTATTTTAATATTTTATGTTCATATTTTGGAAAAAAAAATTAAAAAAACGAATCAATCCTATTGGAAACCATTTCGCCGGAAGAGGTTAAACAGAATATCATTGAATTTTGTTAAAAACTAAAGCAAAAGCAAATCAAATGATGACAGTGTCAATACTATGAAGTGACTTTTCTCTTTTATTGTCTTGGATACGATTTTTTTATTTGTTGCAACAATACAATTTTATCTGAACAAGGAAATAATTCCAGTGACCCTCAAACCGTTTACCAATATTTTGGAGTTAACATTCTTTATAATAAAAATTAAGTGAGTTTTTTTACTCGGTTACAGTATTTCTGTACTGTTTTATTACTAGGTCAATTTTCAAGTCAGAGACCGTAAACAGATACTAGGACAGGAATATGCATTTTTCTATAATTTGTGCTAAAAATGACTATTTACTTAGTTACTTTTTATAAAAAGTTGATTTCAAAAAAACCTGAAATGTGATGAAATACTTATGCAAATTATCTTTGGTTTTGAAACACATGAAACTAGCGGTAGAAGCAAACTTGCCAGAATTGCTACTTTTTATAATATCTCAACTCTGAAAAAATCTTGAACTATGATGAAATATGCACATTATGATGTTTTTTTTATAAAATAAATATATCGCCAGCGGTAGAAATATGTAAACTTACAGTCACCTTGTACCTCAATTGGACTTTCTTTTGTTTTTGGCTACGTTTTGAGGATTATAAACTTAAATAATAACTTGTGTTTGTTGGAACTGAGAAATGTAAAAAACTCGTGACAGCTGGATTACGTTGGGATTCCGCGGTTGTCTCTCATGTTAGCGTACGTCCATCAAGCGAAAGATGAGAATTTTGATTGAATTAAGTAATTAAGTTTCGGTTGACATGAAAAACTTTGTGAAGAACTAGATTTGATTATAGCCATGTAGTGATTATTCAGATTAATCATGATATTTGAACCGGTTTGAGTTTGTTTTCCGATCATGATGAGTTGTAAAGAAAATGTTAAATATATTACAATTTTTCTCCGCTTCAACAGAACTAAACCGGTCATGTGTATAAAATGTGAAAAACACACCAGATATAAACAGGACTTAATTAATAAGATAATCATTGAATTGCTTTCGAACAGATTTCTGATTAATAGTCTTTGAAGTTTGCGCTTCCCAATACCGGGAATAACACAACTGTCATTGCAATAATGTTGCGTTTACCGTACGTGTGCTAGAGGGTCATGGCAAACGAATTTTTCACCACCAACCCCGTAATTAGCCACTTATGTTTGCCGTTATCTTAATAAGCGACAGACGACCTTTTGACGTTTATTCGGGAAACGGGCGGAAAAATTTCCAGGTGGCGATATAGTCGCTAGAATGCGCAGGTAATCAGCCGTATCGGGCAGATTGTTGGCTCGGAACCGACCAGGGTGGTTGTATTGTTGAGATGCAAAGCGTGTGTGTTTAGTGTCATTGGGTTGGCAATGACGAGCCACACAGGCAGCTCCTAAC